TTACACAAAATTCATACATAACCTGGCCTCCATCATGGCACTGTTACATTGCTGTTTGAAAAAAACTCTTGATGGTCTTGTAGCCAAGACATAGTCTTTAGGGAAGTAAAAAATCGACCATTGTCATCTAAGGTGTTTGCACACTCCCATCCCAAGTGAGAAGTGACGCTCACATGCAATGCCTCCCCATACAGTATCAGGGTAGTGTTGGCCCAGCAGAGAGAAAGGCCAATAGTGTATACTTCCCAGACTTTAGCTGATGCCAAACAAAGATACATGCAGATACAGAAGGAAGGTTTGGTGGTCATCTTTGGTGTGAGGAAACTCTATCAATTCCTTTACGGATGTAAATTTATAATAGTAATAGACCACAAGCCCATGCCACCCATAGCTTCATGTCGAATTCAGCAGTGGGCCCTCGTTCTGAGTGCACACAATTACAATTTGGAACACATCCACGAGGCCAAGTGGCAAATGCCTCCCGCTGGCAGATACACCACTAGTACCACTAGAAGAATCTGTTCTGGTTTTAAACGATTTGGACACCCTATGGGTGCCAGACTGTGGACACAAGATTCCATCCTGGCAAAACTAAAACAGTTGGCAGTGATGGCAGAAACAAAAGGGGCATCACAATCAGAACTAAAACCTTTCTGGACCTGGTGAGACCAGATCACCATAGAGGACAGCACATTATTATGGAGAGCAAAAATGAATGCCCCAAGCAAAGGTCGCTGCCGGATGCTGGCTGAACTCCACCAGGGTCATCCAGAAGTTTCCAAAATGAAGATGTTGGCAAGATGTTATGTTTGGTGGCTAGGATTGGATGCTGACATAGCTGTGTTGGTGGAGCAATGCCCAGAGTGCCAACAAGGACAAAAATTATCACTAGCAGCTCCCCCGATTCATGGGAATGGCCAGGTAAACCCTGGACTTGGTTACATATTGACTATGTCAGTCCTTTCATGGGATATATGTTTTAATCATTGTGGATGTCAATTCAAAATGGTTGGACCTGCATAAAGTTCATTTGCCACGCACAAGAATGACAACTGAAAAGTTACAAGCATCTTTTGCAATACACCTGGAAGTGCAGCCATGGTTTACCAACAGGGAATGACTATTTCCTAAAGTCAAATGGCATTCAGCATGCAAGGGCAGCTCCATACCATCCATCTTCCAAAGGTCTGGCAGAAAGAGCAGTCCAAACGTTGAAGAAACAGCCTAAACTTCACTCAATACCAAACTGCCCCAGTTCTTGATTACAGGGCCACCCCTCATGCAATTACAGGGATAGCTCCAGCAGAGTTGCAAACTCTGACAGAAGACTCCACACCAGATTAAATCTGATTTTCCCAGACCTGGGAGGGAGGGTGAAATGAACACTAATGCCAGACACAAGGCTCCTCTGAGTGAGAAAGGCAGTTCACTTCAGGGGATGAAGTTTGGTGTTAAAACCACTGGCATGGCCCTGCATGGGTAAGATGCATAGTCAACGCGATATCACGTTCTGTGATGTATACTCTTCAGTAGGAGATGCAGTCCTGAACAAGCATATGGACCTCATGAAAGCTGCAACCTCTCAAACGGGGCAGAAGCAAAATATACCCAATCCCTCAGAACGTCTGGCAAAGCCGTCAGAGCTTGTGAATTCTCTCCCTCCACCTAGCATTGAAGAAACCACTGAGGACAAAATGGACATGGCAGGTGTTGCAGCCTCAATGCTGTTACCACCTGAACATGCATTTCGGCTGAGTTACTCCGGACACAAGAGACGGGGTACAGTCCGGTACATTGATGCAGAGTTGGAGGAACTGGACCTGGTGCGAAAATGCCCGAAGCTGTAGGAAACAGAATGGGCCACATCCTGGGTCTTAGAGGCAGAGGGATGTAGTGATTGGAATGAGGTCAGTCAGGTGGAAGTTATGGAATACAAGTTCTCTGACTGAACCAGCCCCAATCAGGGAATCCTGCCTGACAGACGTAAACATGAGTGTCATGTTCTGTTCACTCTCGGAGTCAGTTCTGAGCTAGCTGGGTCAGTGTCACTTACTGTGCACATATAAATAAAGGGTAAAAACTGAAAGAACTGTGGATGCTGTAAATCATTAACAAAAACAGAAGTTGCTGGAAAAGCTCAGCAGGTCTGGCAGCATCTGTGAAGAAGAAATCAGAGTTAACGTTTTGGGTCCGGTGACCATTCCTCAGAACCGGACCCCAAACATTAACTGATTTCTTCTTCACAGATGCTGCCAGACCTGCTGAGCTTTTCCAGCAACTTCTGTTTTTGTTATAAATTAGGGGTGACGTGGTAACGGGATACCAGCCTTCATGGAGCTATTTCAGGATACACTGGTCTTTTTACTGGCAGTGGTTATTAGTTTTAAAAAAGTAGCAATGTGGAAACTAGTGCCAAGGCCAACATTTACTGCTGATCCCAAATTACACTCAAGGTAGATGTGGTGAGCCATGACCTTAATGCTGCAATGTGTGTGGTGTTTGCACGTCCACAATGTGATTAAAGGTGGCGTCCCATGACTTATACTTAATCATATTTCTAATTAAGGTGATATGTGCGGCAGACGTCAGAGCTCCCATTCACCTACTACAGATGTTCGTCCAGGTGATAAAAGTTAAGACTTTAGAATCTACAATCATAGAAACCTGAGTGAGTTACTGCAGTTCAGTTTGTAGGTAGTGGACACTGTAGCCACTGCTAGTCATGAAGGGGTGAATATTTAAGGTGGTGGACGGGGTGCTGATCATGAATGCTGCTTTGACGTGGATGATGTCTAGCTTCTTGACAGTTGTTGGAACTGAGCTCATCCAGACAAGTGGATATTATTTCTGCACAACTCTGACTTATGCTTTAGGAAAGATTATTGGATGTTATCCACTTCTTGCTGCATGTGGCAAGTTGTGTTTCATTATCTAAAAAGCTACAAATTGTACAGAACACTCTAAAATCATCAATAAATATCACCACTCTGACATTATGATGTGCATAAAGTTAATGATAAAGCAACTGAAATATTTGAAACTAGGCACCACCTGACGAATTCCCACAGCCTATTAAAACAGACCTTGGGCTAAGATGATTAGCCTCCAACAATCCAATCTTGCTTCGTGTTTGGTCTAATTAGACAGTACCAGATATTTTCCCAGATATTCCTAATTACTTCAATTTTACTCAAGCTCCTGAATGCAACACTCAGTGAATGTAACCATTGATGTCCATAAGATTTACTGTCTCCTTATGATGGAATTTAGCTCCTTACATCTGCAACAAGTAAATAAGCTCAGACAGAAGTCAGGTGTTAATCAGCAGGAGATTTTCTTGCCATGTTCCCTTGATGCCATAATAGTCAAGTAGACCAGATCAGGTGAGAATGGTAAATGTCCTTCTCTAAAGAGCAATGGTGAGCTGAATGGGTTATGATGACTGTCTGGTAGGTTCGTTGATGCTTGCCTGATACTAGCTTCTTTTAATTCCAGAACTATTTAGCTACTTAATTTATTTCCCTAGCTGCCATTGTGGGATTTGAAATCATGGGTGAAAATTGAGAGGGATGGGGCAGTCTTCTTGCTCCTCGGAAGGAAAGCTGACAGACCAGAAATAATTTACGTGATGTGGTCAGGTTGAAGTACTGAAAAGTCAACTTCCTGGAATCAGTGGTAATGTTTGGGGTGTATTTGTCCATCTGACAAGAGTGGGTGAGCTTGGCAGGGGCTTAATTTCTGATGTATAAGTTGAGAGAAAGAAATGGTGATACTATCTTTTTGGACGTGCCCCCAGTTGACAAAAGGCAGTCTTCAAAGATAGTACCCACCTTTCTTCATGCTATTTTGAAAACTTAAACACTTGCCTGCTTGACAACGACATGTATTTTTACATGTACAGGGTAAAAGAAGCATTTTTAATCAACCTAGTTGGACATGTTATGATATACCTCTGATGGGTAGGTAGAACTTGAAGCCAGACCTACTGGCATAGAGTAAGGAACGCAATCAATGAGCCACAAGGCCTCAACCATCTGTGCTTATGCAGCTTGTAGGTACATGCTCATTTTGTCCAAAACAATTTAGAGTAATTAAAAATGCTTTATGGCATTTAATACTGTGAGGTTTTATTGTCAGCACTGTAACTTACAGGATATTACCAAAATCTACATTCTTCCACCTTCTCTTGTATCTTTCCATTGAGTTCACAATCCCATTCCTCAATTTCTTCAAAACGTGACTTTGTATTTAAGCTTATTAAATTGCTACCTGGTTGCTGTCTTTCCTAATTCTCTTTGTAATTTGTCGAACCTCTGTTTCTCTTTTGTCAGCAAGTCTGTAAATTTATTTCCTTATGCCACAGTTCTATTTGTCAATATGTATTGAGGACAAAAGTGCATCAGCACTGACACTCGGATATAGCACTTCCACTCTACTCAAGAGTAAGCAAAACCTGCTTATTCTAACTATATGGTTTCCATCTACTAACCAATGTCTAGACATACGTCTTGAACCACAAACCTGAAATTTCCCCCTTTTCAAAAACAACTTAATTTCTGCTTTTGTGTTTTCTAGAGATCAGATATTCATTGTACACAAAAATCCAATCATAATTTCACATACTACTATTCCACATGTAGTATTTTAGAGAACCAAGAGGTACCACCAACCTATCAATATCTTATAAAACCATCCAACAGCTCACTGGTTTTCTATCATGTTTCAACCCACCAGTCACAATGTGGAACTCCATTTAAAATTTTATTTCACCAAGGCCTTTTGTCAGGGTACAATCAGACACATCATATCTAGTGAAGATAGTGCAACTGCCTTATGTCTGACCCAGCAATTCTCCCTATATCCAATCTGATAAATACCTCTACAATATCTCTGTATATTTCTCTTCCATCAGATAAGGAAAGTCATTTACACCTTATTTTCCATATCCATTGTCACACTTCAATAAATTCCACTTGTGTAGTGTATATGAAACATCTTACCTTTTTTGTTAGTGTATAAACTAACTGGTACAGCAAAGGGCTGGAGTCGACTCTCAGTGTGTAGTTACCTTTGTAAAAGATGGAAAGATCAAGAATAAAAGGACATGAGCAAAAAAATCACAAATAGTAACCCATAATTGTTCTGATGGAATGGTTATCTTTCCAGATTCAGCAAAATTCACATTTTAATTGTTTCAATGGCAGATGTTAGCATCATTACATGACCATTTAAGTTATTTTACTGCAGTTGTATTTTTTAAAAGAAACAGTTAGAAAATTATTAGAGTATAAATTTCTGCTGAATGGCATCATGAAGGTCTGCTCAACTTGTCTCATGAATTTGAATGCTGGTGATCGTGATCAATATTCTTTTCAAATTTTTCTTCCTTTACTTCTGTAAAGAGATCTTCATAATTAAGATTTTATTAAGATTGATAAAGACTAACTTCATATACTGATTAATTTATAAGGCATTTAACAAGTTGTAATTCTTCTTAATTGGTAACTCCCTACTGCCCAGTGGAAACATGCCTTATCACTGGCAAATGCACAAGATGCAGTGAGTTGCACCTGACGTCGAGACACCAGACTTCTCATGAAATTCAGCCATAAGTCTCGCCACAGCCCATGTTGTTCAGGCCCCTATAAAATTTCATACAATATCTTTGACACAAAATAAATGCATCTTGTGAAGTTTCAACATAGATATTATAAGCAGAATCTTTGGGTTGGTAGAACATAAAGAATGGATGGAGGAGAGGTTATTGGCTGCTTGGTTCTGCTCTGCCATTCAGTAGAATCACAGAACCATACGATCATAGAATCATGTCAATCCTCTGTTCTGTTACAGAAATGTCGTTCTTTGAATTCTGTTCTAGCTTGTCTAAGACAATTAACTAATCATTGGTATGGAACAAGTCATTCGGATTTATTTCACTTCACTATATTGAATCATTGTAGGGTTAATAGGTCAAGATATCTGCTCAATGATGTTTGCTACAAAAAGTTTTGACAACTGCTTTGTCAAAAAAAGTTTCTGTGAGGAAATCTGATCTATGTCATTGTTTGCCCAGCACTAAGGAAAATAAAACTCATAGATTCATCAATGTTTACAGTATAGGGGGATAGCCAATTGGCCCATAGTGTCCATGCCACTCAACAAATATTTGACTCTAATCCCATTGTCCAGTTCTTGGCCCACAGCCGAGATGCTATGGCAACACATTTGAAATCTAAACACTGCTTAAATTTTGAGAGTTTCTGACTCAACCTCTCTTTCAGGCAGCGAGTTCGAGATTTCCACCACCCTCTAGGTGAGAAATAAATTATTCTCAACTCTCCTGTTACCCCCTGACTTGCCTCTTGGTTATTGACCCCTCCACTTAAGGAAGAAGAACCTTGCTATCCACACAATCTTTGTCCCTCCTAATCTTTTGGCATGTAAGAGAAAATGTCATATGAAGAGACAGTGGATTGGTTAGGAGTATGTTTATGGGAGTTTAGAAAAACAAGGGGAGATCTCTTGGCAACCAATAAAATTCTAACATGATGAGCATAAATGCAGGAAGGATGCTCCCAATGACTAGGAAGTCCAGAACCAGGGGCCACAGTCTAAGGATACAGGGTATGCCATTTAGGTCTGAGATGAGGAGAAACATCTTCACCCAGAGAGTGGTGAGCCTGTGGAATTCTGTGCAACAAAAAGCAGTTGAGGTCAAAACAATGAATCCTTTCAAGAAGGTCATAAATAAAGGTCTTAGGGCTAAAGGGAACAAAGCATATGGGCAAAAGTGGGAACAGACTACTGAGTTGGATGATCAGCTATGTTCATAGCACATGGTGGAGCAGGCTTGAAGGGTTAAATGGCCAACTCCTCCTATTTTGGGACCAGTGATCATAATTCTATTAGTTTTAAAATAGTGACAGAAAGGGATAGACCGGATCTAACAGTTAAAGTTCTAAAATGGACGAAAGCTAATTTTGATGGTATGAGGCAAGAACGTTCAAAAGTTGATTGGGGGCTGATATTCGCAGATAAAGGAATGGCTGGAAAATGGGAAGCCTTCAAAAATGAGATAACGAGAGTCCAGAGACAGTATGTTCCTGTTAGGGTGAAGGGCAAGGATGGCCAGCGTAGGGAGTGCTAGATGACTCGTGAAATTGAAGTTCTGGTCAAGAAAAAGAAGGAAGCATATGGCAGGTATAGACAGCAGGGATCGAGTGAATTCTAGAAGAGTATAAAGGCAGTAGAAATATATTTAAGAGGGAAGTCAGGACATGAGAATCCAAAGGAATTCTACAAATACATTAAGGACAAAAGAATAACTAGGGAGAGAATACGGCCCCTTAAAAGTCAGCAAGGCTGCCTATGTGTGGAACCGCAGGAGATGAGGGAGATGCTAAATGAGTATTTCGGATCCGTGTTTACTGTGGAGAAGAATAGGAAGATAGAGAATTTGGGGAAATAAATAGCGACATCTTAAAGTGTCCATATTACAGAGGATGTGGTGCTGGAATTCTTAAAGTGCGTAAAGGTGGATTAATCCCCAGGAGGGAATCAGTGTACCCTAGAACTCTGTGGAAAGCTGGGGAAGTAATTGGTGGCCCCCTTGCTAAGATATTTGCCTCATCAAAGGCCACAGGTAAGGTGCTGGAAGAGTGGAGGTTGGCTAACGTGGTGCCATTATTTAAGAAAGGTGGTAAGGAAAAGCCAGGGAACTATAGACCAGTGAACCTGACATCGGTGGTGGCATGTTGTTGGAAGGGATTCTAAGGGACAGGATTTACCTGTATTTGGAAAGGCAAGGACTGATTAGGGATAGTCAACATGGCTTTGTGCATGGAAAATCATGTCTTACTAACCTGATTGGGTTTTTTGAAGAGGTAATGAAGAGGGTTGATGAAGGCAGAATGGTGGATGTGATCTATGTGGACTTCAGTAAGGTGTTTGACAAAGTTCCTCATGGTAGACTGCGTAGCAAGGTTAGATGACATGGAATACAGGGAGAATTAGTCATTTGGATATAGGACTGGCTCAAGGATAGAACACATGGGTAGTGGTGGAGAGTTGCTTTTCAGACTCGAGGCCAGCAACCAGTGGTGTGCCACAAAGATTGGTGCATTTATATAAATGATTTGGATGTGAACAAAAAAGGTATGGTTAGTAATTTTGCAGATGACACCAAAATTGGAGGTGTAGTGGACAGCGAAAAAGGTTACCTCAGAATACAATGGGACCTTGATCAGATGGGCCAATGGGCAGAGGAGTGGCAGAAGAAGGTTAATTTAGATAAATGTGAGGTGCTGCATTTTGGAAAGGCAAATGAAGGCAGGTCTTATCCTTAATGGTAAGGTCCTGGGAAATCTTGCTGATCAAAGAGATCTTGGAGTGCAGGTTCATAGTTCATTGAAAGTGGAGACCCTGGTAGACAGGATAATGAAGAAGGTGTTTGGTATGCTTGCCTTTATTGGTCAGTGCACTGAGTATAGGAGTTGGGAGGTCATGTTGTGGCTGTACAGGACATCGGTTAGGCCACTTTTGGAACACTGCATTCAGTTCTGGTTTTCCTGCTTTAGGAAGGATGCTGTGAAACTTGAAAGGGTTTAGAAAAGATTTCCAAGGATGTTGCCAGGGTCGGAGTGTTTGAGCAGTAGGAAGAGGCCGAATAGGCTGTGGTTATTTTCCCTGGAGTGTCAGAGGCTGAGGGGTGACCTTATGGAGGTTTATAAAATCATGAGCGGCATTGATAGGCGGAATAGCCAAGGTCTTTTTCCTGGGGTGGGAAAGTCTAAAAGTAGGGCTTGGGTATTAAAGTGAGAAGGGAAAGATTTAAAAGGGATCTAAGGGGCAACTTCTTTCATACAGAAGGTGGTGTGTGTATGGAATGAGCTGCCAGAGGAAGTGGTGGAGGCTAGTACAATTACAACACTTAGAAGGCATCTGGATGAGTACATGAATAGTTCGGGTTTAGAGGGATATGGGCCAAATGCTGGCAATTAATTTAGGATATCTGGTCAGCATGGACGAGTTGGAGCGAAGGGTATGTTACCATGCAGTACAGCTCTATGATTCTATGAGTAAAGGACAACTGGCTGCAGAGTTTAAAAAAAAGAAAAGCCTCTGATTTCTTCATCTTCTCAGCTCATTACCATCATCTGCAGCAAGTGCAGCATACCACAGTCATACGTCTGAACAAAACTAGGCAAAATTTACCATCGCTGACCACAAGGTGCAAACTAGCATCCCACAAATGCAAGGCTGCCAGAAGTTAAAACACTGGTAAAAGAGTGTTGAAGTCAGAGAAAGTAAGAAGTGAGTTTAACAAGGCTAAATGAAATATATTCAATTACAAGGAACTTGAGGAATAAGAAAGATGTGCTGAGGGAAAGAAACAAAAATAGAAATTGCTGGAGAAACTCAATAGGCCGCATCTGTGGAGAAAAAACAGTTTATATTTCAAGTTCAGTGATCCTTCTTTAGAACAGGCATAGAGGACACGGAATGGTACATGGGGTTACGATATCATAACTATGTCAAGACTTAGCTGAAAGATTGGTAGGATTGACAACTCAGTTTTCCTGGTTATAGAGTATTCAGATGAAATAGGGAGCAGAATAGAAGAGGAAGGGATTTGCAATACTGATCAAGAAATCAGTTATATCTTGGAAGGATCATCAAATGTGACCCCACATGTAGAAGCAAAAACCACAAAAGAGGCAAACTCATTTTTGGGTATGTACTGTATACTCCCAAAATGTCAGGGAGATAGTGGATCAAATATGCAATCACATTTGAGAGAAATGTAAGAATGATATGACAATATTGGCACAGGACTTTAACTAGAAAATATTAACAAGGAAATTTGTAGTGTGCAAGTTAGGGAGGGATCAAAACTCATAAATTGCATCAAGGATAGCATTTTTTTTTGGCCAGTATTTAGAAAGCCTAAAAAGGGAGTAGCAGTTCTAGACTTAATATTTGGAAATGAGTTCAGGCAGGTGGAAGACCTATCAGTAAGGGAGTTTTTTGGAGATAGTAACCATTACTCAGATTTTGAATGGTTATGGAAAAGGATAAGGGTGAGCCACAAATAAAAGTTCTAAACTGGGGAAAAGTGTGATTTGGGAAATGTGATTTGGCTCAAGTGGGCTAGGAGCAACTACTTACAGATAAAACTCTGTTAGAACAATGGGAGGCATTCAAGGAGGAAATAGCAAGAGTACAAGGCAAATACATTGTCATAAATACAAAAAGTTCAACAATGACTGAAGAACCCTGGATGTCAAAGGACTTGAAGGTTAGGACTAAGTAAAAAAGAGCAGTTCATCGCAAATTCTGGGGGTTAAATATGCCAGAGTCCTTAGAGTATAAAAAGTGTAGGGTGGAGCTCAGAAAGGAATTTAGAAAAGCTGAGAGTGCATGGTGGGTAAAATAAAGGAAAACCTATACATGCTTTTTTAAACATATAAAGAGCAAAGGAATAGCTCAGAAAAGAGTAGACCCCCATTAGGGACCATAAAGTTAATATGTGTGCAGATGCAGAAGATGTGACACGGTCCTCAGTGACTACTTTTTAACAGTTTTCACAATGGAAAAGGATAATGCAGACATAGACATCAGGGTGGAGAACTGTGAAATATTAGAATAAACTAACATTACATCTCACTACTTTTAATACCCCTCTGAGCAGTCAGTGTGCAGAGATATAATCTCCTAATTGTTTAATACACTATTGTACCAATTGCTGTCTATAGCTTCTGACTCGATCAATCTCTAGTCACAGCCTTTTAATCACCTGGAAACAGAACATTGTCATTTCTGCTGTCAGGTTTCATGAAATAGAATTGGATCATGTATGCTTCTCAATTTTTCTCTGACAAGATAATAAAAGTCGATTCTTTATAACCTTCTGAGGGAAGTGAATTCCACCAACTGGATATTTCACAAGAGGCCATGTTCTATAAATGAGGTTGGCATTACACAGCTATCAAAGGCGCTAGAAATACTAGGGCCGCAATTTTGGTTTTGTCCCTGGTAACAGTTATTGTAAATCCATTCTTATCATTGAATGCAGACTACTACAAATCAGTTATGCTTCAAAGATAAATTGTAGGTCAGATGATTTACATCATGCTTGATACAATCAAAAATACAGTCATCTAGTAAGAGGCATATGTGGTTGCCATACCACGACAGATCTCCTGCAAAAATAACTACCAGCAGCAGTAGTTCAGCACTGATGTGCACATGTGTGGTGTTTGGTACTTTCCATTAAATAAAAATAAAAATAAAATATTGGTTGCAATAAAAAAACAAGCAGCAGCTATTTGTTCAGGTATAGCTTTGCGTTGGTTGTCAAGCTTTTGAATGTTACATTCTGTTTTCTTGCAGGGATTTCCAAGCTTCTGGGGTTCCAGCACAACGACCAAACTTCTGGTTCGTGGTTAGGATTTCAGACACTATTACGAATAAACCATTAGTAACAATGTGGCATGTGATTCACTGATGGATACAATAAATAAATTGTATACGCAGAGAGGCACACTTTACAAACTGATCTCAAAAAATTTGAAAAAAAAATGACAAATCTGATACAAATTAACCAAATTTTCCAATTTCAGTTGTTTTTATTTACTGTACCTTCTATGGCCGAATCTGCATTGATATATGCCACTCCCCGCTCCTGTAGTAGTTTTGTATTGTCCTTGTAAAAATATCAAAACGTTATTGAAACCAACGGTAACTTACACATCCCTTTATTCAATATATCTATACGTATGCTTGTCTTGCCTCAATCATTGGGACGTTTAAAGTTAGTGCCTCATATTACGAGCTACCACACTTAAAGTACTTAATTGATTGTACTGCGTTTTTGGACACAAGAGGTAGTGAATGGTGCATATAAATGGGAGTTTCTTATTTAAATCCTAATAAATTCAGAAGAATTCAAGAAACAGTTGCTAATATGAATCATTTCCCATATTGTCTTAAAAGGAAATAGAAGCTTTCTAGCTACTAGCTAAGTAGGCAGTAACCTGGATACCAACTAAACCCTCACCTTCTTTCTGGAAATTATCAGAACATAGCATTTTATTTTATCCTTTAACCAAGGTTTCTTTGCAAACTATCATTAACCTATTTCCCCATTTCACTGTAAATTCTTGAATTTGTTAAAGGATCAGCAAATTTGAATTCTACATCTAGTTTTAAGAGGAGAAGAGTGGATCCACAACTAGTATTTTTAACTTAAATAAAGTCAACTATGTGGGCATGAAAGCTGAGCTAACTGGACAGGCAGATAACTATTTTGTGTTTCAAATTCGAAAATAGTTTAAAATCCAATGCTACTATGGCATTGCTGAGATGAAAAGTTGCAAACTAAATAATTAAAAAGAGTGAAATTACCGTAGAAGTTAGTGTTAAGAGAATTGTGCACATTGCTTTTCAATGCTTAGAGATTGAAATCTACAAGCAATAGACATGTTACTCTAGAATTTCAAACAACTTACCTCTGCCCACTCTGTGGAGCCCAATAATCCAAATTCTTCTGCATCCCAGCTGGCAAATATTATGGTTCTTCTAGGCCTCCAGCCTACATAGAATCAAATAACAGAAATGCAAAATGTTTGCCTTTAAAGGTATTTTGTTTTTTTGCCCATCAACTCACACTTACCAGCAGTTGTAATAACAAACTGATTTTGGTATTTAACCCTGAAGATATACAGTAATAACATACTACATAAGACAAAGATCTAAGCATTGCTTTGTCACTACAAAGGTGAACATTTATACAGTCATACAGATAAAATACTGCTGATGCTGGAAATGTGAAGCAAACACAGAGAGTGCTGAAGAAACTCAGTAGGTCAAACAGGAAACAAACAGCCAGATTGCACACTCAATTTTGTAACAGTCAATTATGATTTGGGAGTTTCACTTTCAAGACCAACATTTGTTATCAATTTTCATTTGTCCTTGAGATGGTGGTGACAACTCCCTCTTTAAACTATGATAGTCCAGGTGGTATAGGGAAACATACAGTGCTGTTGGACAGGGAGTTCTAGGATTTTGACTTTTTGATAGTGAAGAAATGATAATTTTGAGTCATGATGGTGTGTGGCTTGCAGGGGAACTTGGAAGGGTGACGTTCCCACTTATCTGCTGTCCTTCTCCGCGTGATAGAATTTGAATGGATTTGAGATGGATTTGAAAGATGTTCCTGAAGGAGGTGTGGTGAGATGTTGTAGTGCATCTTATTGACTGATAACACAGAATGTTGTTCTCTGCATCGTTGATGCTAGTGACTGTTTAAGATGTTGGCTGGAGTGCTGATTACATCACCTACGTGTAAAGACCACTTCTTTTTATTTTCTTTTGTTTGACCATGCACCAAAATGGGAAAGGTCAGTCTTAAACCAAGGACTGAGAAAAGAATTGCTGCACTTTTAAAAACAAGTAACTGAACTCATTGGGTGTTGTGTTTATCCAGTTGCTTTGCAAGCAATAGGAGAGGTGAGAAAATGCCAAGGCACCAGAGTATGTGAGTGTGTCGGTCTGTCTTGTGCCTGTGTATGAGTGCAGAGTGAGATTCAGCCCGGAACAGATTATTGTCTGGTTTGTGGAATTGCAACCAGTTGTGTATGCCAGAAGTCATCAACCTAACAACAGGTCTGTTTTCTGGGCAGCTGGACAGCTAGTGTGTGAGAATTATACAGAGCCAAAAGATCTTCAGATGGGAAAGAAGCAGGGTCTGTCTATTTTTCTGTAGCAAAGTAATTCATGCCTGGAGCAGTCAGTATTTCTCTCCTGTGTCGCCAGAAAAGAACTGAAAGAAACTGGAAGGAAGGAGACCAGAGGCCTGAGGTCGTCAGAAGATAAACAAACACCTCATCAAAGCCTATGGACTGGTGCTGTTGAGCTGTGATTCTTCAGTAAATTTTTCGCTACTCATAACATCCATGTTTTGTTTGTACATTTGTTTGTATGTAGGGATTTTAAAGGGGATTAGAGTTATATGTTGTTAGTTTTGTTTACCGGTGGCTAAACTTATTTCTAGTGAACAGAGGTTTGTTTGGATCAGCAATGATCCTATTGAATGGGGGAGCAGGCTCCATGGGCTGAACAGCTTACTCCTGTTCCTTTTTCCAATGGTCTAACAGTGTAAAGTATAGGAACATGGTTTGTCTTTTCCGTTAGCCTGATTGTATCAGATAGGTAGATTGTGGATTTTGTGTGCATTTACTTCTGCGGAGATTTCTGGAGTAGTGGGGCTTGAGAATCAGCGCACTTGGGCTGTAACATGAAAATTTGACTTGGTAAATATGAATGAATATTAAACAACAACACTGATAGTAGAGTTGGTTGTGCACCCCTTAGTACAACCAAGAATAATCTGAACAGTGATACTTTCCATGTTGAATGGCTTGCAGAGGTTAGCCTTCTATTTAAGTTGTCACTTGGATATTGTGCCTAAGATCTGCCTGTACCTGTGGAACTGTACTTCAGGAAAGTTTGGTAAATTTCAAGAGTAGGGAAAATTTCAGGAGAAAAAAGGCCAATTATAGTAATAATAAGAGGTAATCTGGTTGGCTTTGAGTTCAGAATACTGTTTGTTAGACAGAAAATGCACGGTTGCGATACTTGCTAATAACATTGCCACCAAATTAACGGTATCACTATTGTATTAAACAGGACAACTTACATTGAAATATACCAGTTAATCTCAGCAAAATGGTTGAAGCCAGATAAATAATCAGAGTCAAACAGGAAGAAGTCCTTTATAGATAAATTAATGGAAGACAACTTGAGACTACACAATACAGCCAATGTTTGATCACGCTGATAGCTAACCAATTTACATCCAGAAGAGGGTGCTGCACAAGCTCTTTCAAACACTGCATTTTGTATGTAAACCCTTGAAAAAGTCTCACATGACTGGGGAAGAAGGAAGGCAGAAGATGTATTCTAAGAAGAGAGATTTGTATCAATGGGAAGATTTCCATTAAACCAAACACAAAAATTTCAATCAAAGATCACTCCTAAGTGACTTATGGTCATCTAAGATTGACCAATTGATTAATCGCATTTTAATTGAAACTGGTCTGTTCAAAACATTAAAGAAAGATATTGCATTTAGTGTGAGATTCTATCAATTGTATTTCTCAATCTCTGAAATTAAGAAAGAGGTAAACTCATCTCCATAGCAAAATGGTGCCATTGCTTGTACTACATTCAGAGACTTTTACCTTCCTCCATAAGTTGTGTAAAACTTCTCACAGCTTCATGTATAACAACAGCTCCAGACACTGGATCAATACCACCAAATCCCCAGGCATCACGATGCCCTCCAAGAATGACGTAGCGATCTGTAACAGTAAAGAAACAGGGAAAAAAACCATCCTTTTACCTTTATCGTCCAAGAGAATTGCCACCAATATCAATAGACAACCTCACTTTTTTCTTTTTTTTTATTGAATATAAGGTAAGTGATTTGTTACGAATCCATAAGGCAGCTATATGTTCATGTTAGAAGTGGAAACAGTTTTTATTTTTGAAGCTTTCATGATCAATGGCATGCACTTCCAAGTCAAATGGTAAATAAAACTCTCTGCATTTGATACAATGTCAGAGCTTCTCCACTGTATAATTTGTTATAAATTACTTAATAAACCATTGCTGCAATTACATGCAATATTCCCAAAAGTATATACAATATTTTGAAAGGCTAAAGAATCCCAGCACTACAGAAATATACAGAAATGCTTTCACCTGGTTCTACTGCTCCTCGAATCTTGCCAATCACGTTGTAAATTCGTCTAACCTCATTTCTCGTGTAAACATGCATTCTGACTTTGCTAAAATTTAAAATAAACCTCTTAGTGTTCCATTGGAAAAAAAAGTCATTCAAATACTGAAGTTAATATTCACATTATCCCATTTTACATTCTTGCCACAATGGAAAGTTCAGCCTTTAGGGAAAACACAGATTAACAAGAACAGGAGTGAGGGGGTTAAAAAGGATTTGAATAAGATTTTGGCAACAGCGTTTCAGATAATTTCAAGTATTGGAGGTTGAGATATGAAAGTTCAATCTAAGCAGCTTTGAATAGTTGAGTCTGGATATGTCAAAAAGCATGGATGAAGATTTAAGCAACAGTTGAGCTGTAACTTCAGATGGGCAATGTCATGGAGGTGGTTGGTCTTTGTGATGGCAAGGGTATGAATTTAGATCATGGCTGATTTGTTTGTGTTTAAATTACATCTTGACTCCCCTGCTTAACATCTCTATTTAAAAAATATTTCATTCAGATTAGGAGTTGGGACATCACGTTACGGCTGTACTGGACATTGTGAGGCCACTTTTAGAATACTGCATTCAGTTCTGGTCTCCCTATTATAGCGAAGATGTTATTAAAGTTGAAATGGATCAGAAAAGATTTACAAGGACGTTGCCAGGATTGGAAGGTTTAAGCTATAGGGAGATGCTGAATAAGCTGGGGAATGTTTTTTTCCCCCTGGAGTATTGGAAGCTAAGGGGTGACCATATAGAGGTTTATAAAATCATGAGGGGCATGGAAAAGGTGAATTGTCAAGGTCTTTTCCCCGGAGTGAAGGAGTCCAAAACTAGAGGGCACAGGATTTAAGGTAGGAGGGGAAAGATTTAAAACTGACCTAAGAGCAACTTTTTCATGCAGAGGGTATTACATGTATGGAATGAGCTGCCAGAGGAAGTGGTGGAGGCTGGTACAATTACAACATTTAAAAGACATCTGGATGTACACATGAATAGTAAGGTTTTAGAGGGATACGGGCCAAACGCTAGCAAGTTAGACTAGATCAGTTTAGGATATCTGGTCAATGCAGAGGAGTTGCACTGAAGGGTCTGTTTCTGTGTTGCATAAGTCTATGACTCTAGGCTCCGCTTCCACTGACTTCTAAGGTGAAGGATTTCAAAGTTGCAAAGCCCTCTGAGAGGAATAAATATCTCTAACCTCTGTCTGGAAAGACCACATCAAATTTTAAAACTGTTCCCTAGTTCTGGACACACCCAGAAAAGGAACCAGTCATTCCATGTTTTTCTTGTCAAGACCTTTCAGGATCTTATACACTTCTATCATGTCACACCTTGTATACTCCAGTGGAAACAAGCCTAGCCTATCCAACCTATCCTCATAAGAGAGATCCAGGTTTCATTCCAAGTATCAATATAGTAAACCCCTCTGAACCATCTCCAATGCCTTTATATCCTTCCTTAAATATACTCACTTATGTGCGAGATGTAGTCTCACCAACACACTGTATAACTTAAGTATAATATACTGACTTGTCATGTTCAGTTCTTCTCATAACAAAGGATTATGAGCTGTACTTGCATTATTACCTTTGAGACTCATGCAACAAACAGCTCTTGCCTTGGAATTCTGCAGTTGGCTTCCGTTTAAGTAACAGTCTGCTTTTTCATTCTTCTTGCCAAAGTGAACAATTTCATATTCTCCCATATTATACTCCATCTGCCAGATTTCTGCCCAATTTATATGCATTTGCAACTTCCTGATGTCTTCTTCACAATAGCCACCATATTTTCATCTCTTCATCTAAGTTATTGATGTAAATTGTAAAATGTGGAGATCCCAGTACAGAACCATGTGAGGCTCTACTGATCACATCCTGGTAATCAGGTCCATTTATGCATGTTCTCCATTTTTTGCCAGCTGGATAACCTTCTATCCATGATCCATACCCCTATACCATGGGCTTTTATTTCCACAATCGCGTTTGTCATGGCACCTTACCAATGCCCTCCGGAAATCCAAGTATAGCATGCCACAAGGTCCCCCTTTACCCACATAACACATTACTACTTCAAATAACTCTAATAAGCTGAATAAACATGATTTCTGTATGACAAAACTATGCTTACTTTTCCTAATAACCTGAGTGTTTCTGAGTACGCAGTTCTAATCTCTTTCATATGATTGTAACACGTCCCCAAGACATGATGTGGAGGTGCTGGTGTTGGATTGGGGCAAACAAAGTCAGAAGTCACACAACACCAGGTTATCGTCCAACAGGCTTATTTGAAATCACAATCGTTCAGACCGCTGCTCCTTCAATCACTTCAGGTGGTTGTCATCAGGCCTTTGGCATCCACAACTGGTCACAACTGCCCAATCCAATCAGCTAAATCAGCTTTTGTTTGCTAGCCACATCTCAGTTTGAACACATATCCCAGAGCTGTGCCATCTCCTTTGCAAAGCAACAGTGGAAAAGATGACCCACAATAGGTTTCAGAAACTTGCTTTATAAAAGTGCAGCAATTTCTTTTTCAGTGATTTTTTGTAAAACAGCCCTTTAATCAGTTCAGTCAACAATCAAAAATAAAATAAAAAGATATAGTCTTTACAGCCATGAGAAAAGTGGAGTTGTACTCCTGCTTCTTGTCAACAATCTCAATAACATGATATATCACTTGCCATCAGTAGACAATTTTTATTTTCCTAAACACCCCTGATCCATTAACTGCTGCCTGGCTGTGATGTTGGGAAGCAAAAACATCAGTTGATGTTCAAGGCCAGTGATCTCTGCGTGCACGTGGAGTTCACTACAATGATGATAAATCTTCCTCTTCTTCTGTTGATACGCTTTGTCCACTTTCCTGATTCATGCCTAGAAAATGCTAGAAATCTTCCAAGCGGTTCTAATAGCCTCATACTGTGTGGGTATTATCTTGACAATTCCACTTTGTGCATGGAAATTTATACCTTGCTTTCGATTGGTCCAGATATGACACCAGCTATGACACCAGCTATGTTGTACACAAAAAGCCAGAAAAATTCAACCGAGCCAATTACTCCCCAACCTTGATCATCAGAAAAATGATGGAAGGGGTCATCAACAGTGCTATCAAGCAGCACTTGTTCAGTAATAATGTATGAGGGCACCTAATGAGGCTAAAAGTCAATAAATCCTCTAAACCTGAAGGGACACATCCTAGGATATGAAAAAAATGCAGTTATAGAGACAGTACATGCACTGATAGTAATATTCAAAGAATCCTTAAATTCTGGAAAACTCCCAGAGGATTGGAAAACTGCCAAAGTAAGATCCTATTCAAAATGGGGAAGGAGTCAAAATCAGGCAAATATATGCCACTTCACTGAATAATTGTCGTTGGGAAAATGTGTTTATCATAAAGGATGTAATAGCAGTGCATTTAGAAATACATAATATAATCAAGAGGTGTCAGCATGGCTTCATGAAGAGTAAATTATGCCTGACAAATTTATTCGATTTCATTGAGGAGGTTTGAAGGAAGTCAGATAAAAGTGAACCAAGTTTTGTAATATATTTAGATTTCCAAAAGGCATTCAACAATATACTGCACATAAGGCTACTTAACAAGAAAAGGCCTGTTGTGTTGACAGCAGCACATTAACACAGATAGACGGTTGGCAAACTATAGGAGACAGAGAATTCGGATAGGAGGGCATTTTCAGGATGGCAACCTTTAACAAGTGGATTACCACTGGGATCTGTGCTGGGGCCACAATTATTTACAATATACCATTGGGGAACATTACCTGAAAGGAATGATGATGGATAGGAATTGCAAACATTTACATTGGAGAAACTCAACAATTGTTCATTTCTGTTTGGCACAAAATTAAAATGGAAAGGTGGTCTGACCATGACTCACAAGGGGAATTAGGAAGAGTATTAGATTGAAGAAAGGGGCATATGTGTTAACCAAACAAGGCCGCAGACTTGAGGAATGGGAGCTGTTTAAATTTCAGCAAAGGAGAGTAAATTGATTGATTATGATGGGGAAAATAGAATGAGAGTGAACTTGTGGAGAACATATAAACTGATTGTAAAAGCTTCTATAGGTATCTGAAGAAAAAAAAGGATTAATGAAGACAAATGGTGTTCCTTTACAGTCAGATAATAATGGGGAACAAAGAGATGGCAGACCAATTAAATACATATATTTGGCTCTGTCTTCACAAAAAGATGACACAAATAACGTCCCAAAAATGTCAGGGAACACAAAGTCTAGGAAGAGGGAGGAACTCAATGAAATCAGTATTAGTAGAGAAATGGTGTTGGGGAAATTGACAGATTTAAAATCCAGTAAATTCCCAGCACCCAATAATCTACGTCCCAGAGTGCCTAAGGAAATGGCCCTAGAAATAATAGAAGATTCTACAGATTCTGGAATGTAACCTTGTTATTTGAAAAAGGAGGTAGAGAGAAAACAGGAAATTATAGGCTGGTCAGCCTGACATCAGTAGTAAGGAAACTGCTAAAGTGCATTATAAAATATTTAATTATGGAGCAATTGGAAAACAGTGACAAGAACATGAATTTACAAAAGGGAAATCATACTTGACACATCTATATGAATGATTTGAGGGTAGAACTATTAAAGTTGAAAAGGGGAATCCAGTGGATGTAGTTTACTTGGAATTCCAGAAAGCTTTTGTTAAGACTCCTCGTAAGGAATTAAAATTAAAGTGCATGGGATTGGGAGCAGTGTATTAGGCAGACAGGAAACAAAGAATATGAATAAACAGGTCATTTTCTGAGTCACAGCCAGAGACTAGTGGGGTACCACAGGAATCATATTTATAAATGTCCAAGATGAGGGGACTAAATATGGTATCTTCAAATTTGCAGAAGAAACACAACTGGGTGGGAGGGTAAATTGTGAGGAGGTTGCAGAAATGCTTTTCTGTGATTTGGACAAGTTGAGTGAGCAGGCAAATGCATGACAGATGAAGTATAATGTGAATAAATGAGAGGTTATCTACTGAGTGTTGATAGATTGGGAAAAGGGAAGTGCAACAAGACCCAAATGGCTTTGTACGCCAGTTGCTGAAAGTAAGCATGCAGGTGGAGCAGGCAGTGAAGAAGGATAAGTGGGCTTCATAGCAAAACAATTTGAGTACAGGATCAGGGGTGTCTTGTTGAAATCGTACAGGGCCTTGTGAAGCCACATTTTAAGTACTGTGTGTAGTTTTGGTCTCCTTACTTGAAGAAGAATGTTCTAGCCGTCGAGGGAGTGCAAGGATTAAAAGATTGATTCCTGGGATGGCAGGACTGACATTATGAAAAGAGACTGGATTGGTTAGGACTACATTTATTGGCATTTAGAAGAATGGTAGAAGGTGAGGGATGGGAATCTCTTTGAAGTTATAAAATTCTAATAGGAATAGACAGAGTAAACATAAGAAGGATGTTCCCAATGACTGGGGAGTTCAGAACATGGGTCACATTCTAAGGATATGAGGTTGGCTATTTAGGACTGGAATGAGGAAAAATTTCTCCAACTCTAGAGCGGTGAGCCAGTAAAATTCTCTGCCACAGAAAGCAGTTGAGACTAAAATATTGAATGCTTTGTTGCCGTCAGTTATAGTTCTTAGGGCTAAAGGGATCAATGAGTATAGGGTGAAAGTAAGAACAGCTGAATTGGATAATCAGTCATGATCATGTTGTACAGTGGACCAGGCTCGAAGGGCTGAACAGCCTACTCCGGCTCCTAATTTCAATGTTTCTACATGTTAATAGACTGTGATGAGGAAACTGAATGTACTATAGCCAAGTTTAAAGATGACACAAAAATAGGTGAAACGGCAAGAGGTGAGGATGATACAGAGAGTCTGTGTAGGGATTAGACAGGTTAAACAACTGGGCAAAAATGTGACAAATGGAATATAATGAGGGGAAATGTCAGGTTATGCAGTTTGGCAGGTAGAATAGAGGAGCTCAATATTATTTAAATAACGAAACCTGTAGCACAGATGGATTTGGTATAGTCATGCTAGATCACAAAAGTGCTAGCATCCAAATTCAGTAGGGATTAAGGAAGGCAAATGGAAATTTGGCCTTTATTTCACAGGGAATGGATATAAAAAAAAATGGAAAAGACTTGTTAATGCTATTCAAGGCACAAGTTAGTCCAGACTTAGAAGGCTGTGAACAGTGTTGATCTCCTTATCTAAAGAAATATATCCCGGCACTGAAGGCAGTCCAGACAAGATTTTACACCTGTAAAACTATAGGTTACATTGAGAAGATGTGCAGAAGTAGGATGCAGTTTCAGAGCAGTAAAATGTGACAGGGTTTACACATGCAAAGAGCTCATAGAGTTGAGCAATCGACATTGGAAAGGATACCAGCATCATTCCATCAGAAATTAGAGATTCTACTGAATCAAATTTAATGGAACTTGTGAATGCCAATGGACAAACAGTTAATTTTAAGCTTGATATTGGTGCAAAAGTCTCTGTTCTATCGGAGCAAATACCATGGTTGAAGAAAAAGCTGCAGCCTGCATAACTACAAAAACTACATAACACAGGTAGCTTAACTCTTAGACGTAATGTTGTTGGCTGGGCCAGCATCTATTGCCTCAGTTGCCCTTGAAAAGGCCTTTTTGAACCACACAGTCAATTTGGTGTAGATACACCTAGAGTGCTCCTTAAGCAGGGATTTGCAGGATTTTGACTCAGTGACACTGAAGAATGGCAAGGTCAGTAAAGTGAACGCCCTGGAAGGGAATGTGAAGGTGATGATCTTCCTATCTATCCACTGCTCTCGTTTGTCTAGTTGGCAGTGATTGAGAGTTTGTGAGAAGCTGTCTAATGAGCCTTGGTGGATTTTTGTCGTGCATCTTGTAGATTACACACACCACTGCTACTAAGAATCAGTGTGAAGGGACTGAATGTTTGTAGATGTGATGTCAATCAAGACAGCTGTGTCAAGTTTCTTCAGCATTGTTGGAGCTGCACTCATCCTGGCAATTGGGGCATTATCCTTGTGGATGATGACTTTCAGTGAGTTACTCACTACAGGATTCCTACTCTCTGACCTACTCTTGTAGCCTCTGTATTTATATGGATAGTCCAGTTCAGTTTCTGGTCGAGAATAATCCTCAGGATGTTCAGCGATGATAATGCCATTGAATATCGAGGGGTGAGGCTAGATTGTCTCTTGCTGGAGGTGGTCATTACCTGTCATTTTGGTGGCATGAATGCTACTTGCCACTTGTTAGCCCAAATCTGGATACTGTCCAGGTTTTGCTGCATTTGGACATGGACTGCTTCAGTATCCCCATGAACGCTACTGAACATGCAGTCATTAGCAAATATCCACACTTCAGATCTAATGATGGAGGGAAGGTCATTGATGAAGCAGTTAGAGATGATTGGGCCTAGGATACTACCCTGAGAAACTTCTGCAGAAGTGACTTAAAGCTGAAGTGATGGACCAACAACCGTAACCAACTTTATTTGTGCCAGTATGACTTTAACTAGCAAAGAGTTGATTCCCCTATGTCCCATTGACTCCAGTTTTGTTAAGATTGCTTGATGCCATGCTCACTCAAGTGCAGCCTTGATGTCAAGTGCAGTCACTCTCATTTTACCTCTGGAATTCAGCTTTTGGGTCTCTGGTTGAAGGCTGTATTGAGATCAGCAGGTGACTGGCCGTGGAGAACTGAGCATCAGTGAGCAGGTTATTGCTAAGCATGTGCTGCTTGATAGCACTGTTCATGATCCCGTCCATCACATTCCTGATGATTGAGAGAAGACTGGTGGAATGATAACTGGCTAAGTTGGATTTGTCTTGTTTTTTTGTGTATAGGATATACCTGCACAATTTTCTAGATTGTCAGAAATTGCTGCCTCCATGTAATGTCCATTACAATTTTTCAGGGCCACTCAATATTTTACTGGAGATACTTGTGGAATATATATGACATTAAACAAAGGATTGTACGGAGTTACTAAGTGAGAATAATGTTTCTAAAGTGCAGCATGCAGATGAAGGAGAATTGGAAACTTTGGTTAAACTTTTGGATGATTCCAGGATTAACATTATGAAATTGGATCAGAAGCCGTAGATGTTACAGATGCTTTGACTGTGACTTTATTGGGTTCAGTATGAAATCACAGAAAGGTGATTTTGGATAAATTAGTTGATTATCTCTTAGTATGATGATACCGAGGTAGAATTAGTTCACCACCCCAAGGTTAGGTAGCTTCAGATTGATGGATTTACACTGAATTACCAAATGTTGAGCTTTCTGAAGGCAAACTATTGATAGGTTATTTAAATCTTGAGGTTTGATTAGCACTAATCTCAGAAGTTACTGTTTTTTTGATAAAATCCAGGCATTGTTAATTCTGCACAGTCAAAAATTGTGATATTTTAAATGCTAATTAAACTGACAGATTCATATTCTGCATTAATCTATTGAAGTGTCTTTTAAAGAACTACCAATACTTGAGAGAAGAGCATAAGGTTAGAAAGGAGGATGAGTAAGGACAAAGAGTGGGTGAGTGAGGAGAAAGGCATAAACGGTGGTGACTAAGCAGAAAGAGCTGTACCAAGAATGGGCAGATGGCAGATTAAGGAAAGGGCAAAAGAGAAGAATAAATTTACATTTTGGAGCCCCCAACTGCTATGGATTTGAAGAAACAAATCTCAGCAGTTACGAGTATTTTTGTTTGGCGTTGTCACATCACTTTACGTATTGCCTTATTGTTTGCAACTTACATCAATATTACATTCTTAGTGCTATCAGGGGTAAGTTGGTTCACTTGGCTAGAGGGTGGTTTGCTATGCAGAATGACACGAACAGCATGACTTCAAATCTTACACCGGTTGAAGTCACCGTGAAGGTCCTGCCTTCTCAACCTTGCCACTTGCCTGAGGTGTGGTGATTCTCAGATTAAATACATCACCAGTCATCCCTCTCTCTATGAGAGAGTGGTCCTCTGAGACTATGGCAACTTTTTCTTTACCTTGACCTTTTAGCAGTCACCATTTCTAGTAGAATATAGATACCAATTGTACTACATATTTACACTTACGATTCAAGAACACGAATTAGCTTTGAGTTGTGTGTTAAATATTTTTATCTTGAAAATATCAGTATTATTAGGAAGTATACCAGTCTGAGATTTGGTGTCCTCAATGCTGTGTGCACAAATATAAATATAAATATCACAATAGGCTACATTAGAAAGGGTAAGATATGATGTTATCAATAATGTAAAATATTCAGGAACACTGCAGTTTGCTCTTTTGTTTCAGAAGAACATACTTACCATGAGGAATAACTGTCCTTGAAACCAGGTCCAATGTTATATGAAACATTCATTTGCCCTTTCCATTCACTTGGAGCTGAAATTCCTCTCATGTTACTGTTGAGTATGAGCATTAAAAGAAAATAAGAGTCAACTTCTATTTGCAATATAAGACCGCAAGACCGTAAGAAACAGGAACAGGAGGAGGCCATTCAGCCCCCAAGCCTGTTCTGCCACTCAATAGGATCATGGCTGATCCAATGTTCCCCATGTCCACTTTCCTGCCCTTTCCCCATAACCCTTGATTTCCCCTATTGACCAAAAATCTATCTCAGCCTTAAAACACAGGGACTCTGCCCCCATAGCTCTCTGTGGCAAGGAGTTCCAAAGAGTCACAACCCCTTGAGAGAAGAAATTCCTCATCATCTCAGTCTTAAATTGAATGATTCTATGGATTGAAGCAAATCCAGCAACACCATGTGGAATCACAGAACAGTATGATACAGAAGTGGCCACTTGGTCCATTGAGTCTATGCTGGCTCTTCAGAAGATAGTTCATTTGGGTCCATTGTCCATCTATTCTTCCATATCCGTGACAGTTGTTCCCTTTCAAGTGTTTATCCTGTTCCCTTTTGAAGGCTACAATGAATATGCATCCAACAAACTTAACATACCATTGTGCAAAAAATGTTTATCATGCCATATTTGGTTATTTTGCTATTCATTTTAAACTTCAGTCTTTTTATTGTTAACACAGTGTGGAACTGGAGGAACACAGCAGGCCAGGCAGCATCAGAGGAGCTGCCGGGCCTGCTGTGTTCCTCCTGCTCCACACTGTGTTACCTCTGACTCCAGCATCGACAGTTCTTACTATCTCTTGTTATTGTTGATCCTTTAAAATTGTAACTTTAAAATTGTCACTTAATTTATCTAAATCCTCCTTTATTTCAATATGTCTGTCAAACTCCCCCTAGACGTTTCTACTCCAAGTAGGACAACACCAACTTCTCCAGGCTATCCATGTAACTATAATCCCGCTTGCCTAGAGCCATTCCAGTAGAATGCTTCTGCATCCTTTCCACAGCTTTTGTATTCTTTGAAAAAGAGTGGTGCACTTAACACCACACAATATCTCAGCTGGGGCTAAGCTACTACTTTATGTAGGTTTAACATTACTTGCTGGTTTTTATTCTCGAGGCTTTATCATTATCAAAATCAGAATCCACACCATTTTGAACTGTTTTGTTTACCTGCTCTGCCACTTTCAAAGATTTCTGCATAAACACCTCCAGGTTTTTCCGCTGATGCATTTGATTTCAAATTGCACATATTAGTTTAGTGTCAATGCTGCTACTGCCCACTTTAATTCCATGGGCTTTAATTCTGCCAACAAATCTTAAGTGTGACACTTTATCCTTCTGAACCTTCTGAAAGTCCAAATACACAAAAATAACTGCATTACTTTATTCTTCCTCTCCATTACATAATCAAAAACCTCAATCAGGTTTGTCAAATCTGATTGCCACCAGATGTTGTCTCTCCTGTATTGACCAACATTTTCTTTTAATTTTTAATTTTCTCAAAGATTATTATTTCTAAAAGCTTTACTATGATAACATAGAAAATCAAAGCAGGAGTAGGCCATTCAGACCTTTCAGCATGTTCCACTTCTTAAACTGTCCAGCCTTCAACTGCAGGCTTTTCCTTCTTTCCTCTTTTCTAAAAAAAAGCTGTAATATTTGCAATACCCCAATGCTGTAGCACAATCTGTGTATCTGGTAAATAGCCGTAGTCCACAAAAAAAGCCACAGGCATCTCTCTGTTAGACAGTAGTTTTAGATAAGTGATTTTATATGTTAAGGGCATCATTCCACGTCAAATATGGAGCAAGACAAGTAGGCAGACCTCCATCAGCTACCACAACTGGTACTAAGGTGAACTATTTTTATTCAGTTAGGTGTCATGAACATTGCTGGTTGGGCCAGCATTTATTGCATAAGAGCCCTTGAGAAGATGATGGCGAGTTGCTTTCTTGAACTGATGTGGTTTATTTGTTAAAGGAATATCCAGAATGTTGACAGGGAGGGAGTGCCAAGATTTTGACCCAGAGGTAGTGAAGAACTGCTGGTATATTTCCATGTCAGGACTGTGTGAGACTTGGAGGGATGTTTGCAAGTAGTGGTGTTCCCATGTATCTTTTGCCCTTGTCGTTCTCGATGGCGATGGGTTTGGGAGGTGTCATTGGCATTATTCTGTACCACACTTTTGCCATCAAATCAACTGAACTAATTGACCCCCATCCTCTGTATCTGAGGCAGATTTGGAACATTGTGGCCACCACATCTGAAGGTTAAAAATGTATTTCCTTCACTCGAATCCATCCTATCCAGCCTGGTGGTTTTACCAGTGTAGGTTCTGCTGGCATTTCTAGTGATTCCTTTTTAGCTGCTGCTATGTCATCCAGAATGCTAATAATTTCATTGTTTACTGTAACTTTTGTAAAGTCAATTTCCTTTTCAAACAGTGATGCAAAACAGTGATGAAATACTTTAGTATTTCAGATATGTTAATGCTTCCACAGATAGATTTTGGTCTCCACTCAGCCCTCTGTTCTTCTGACAATTCTTCTACTATTAATATGTCTGTAGAAGATGATTTCATTTCTTTTTTTTAACTATGAGCGTACTCTCATACTTGCCTTTGGTTCTGTTATTTCTCTATATTTCCAAATTAATCCTTGATTTCTCCCTTGAATGTTCAAATTGACCTTTGTCATACACTGCTGCATTCTACTCTAACTTCTCCAACTCCAGGGATTTCAGGCTTTTGATACCCTCTCTGTCATATATATGACATCTTTCGTGACCTCAAGATGTCCTAAAACATTTCAATTGTAGTTGTAGTCATTGTGTAGAGAAATTCAGTTCCCAACTTACATTCAGTAAGCCAGTGCTGGTTCAGATACAACAATACTCTTCAAATTTACATTTTGTAAGAAAATGTTAAAGCCAGAATTTTATGGGCTTGGAGGTGGTAAGACTGACAAAGTGTTGTGGAAAGGAGGGATAGGGGTGATGAACACCTTCCTGTCACCATCCCACTTTGCTAGGGGCCAGGAAAATCCGCAGATGACCCTCCCACCTAGAGACCAATTGACAATTTCGTACAACAAGGCTGCTAGTAAAGCTTGGCAGCTTTCCAGCAGGCCCAATGTGGTGCACCTTCCTGAAAACGGAATCTTTAGCTCATGTAAGCATACACTCACCACCACCAGATGACAATGTAACATCAACACCACCTGGCCTAGGAAATCCATAATCCAACTCCAAACCCCCAGGCATTGGCTAGTATTAACAATGCCATTGCTGAGGCTGCTGAGTTATGAGCACTCAGAGTGGGCTGGCAGCATCTGGGAAATAGGGAGGGTGTTAACCACTATCCTTAATTTGATGTCAACAGAACAGGTTGGCTATAATGGGTAAAATGCGGCCATGGTTTCTGCTGCCAATAACTGTGGATTGTTCACTGCTTTGGCCCGGTGACAGAATCTTGTAGTTTTCAAAATACCCTTGCATCTGCAGATCAAAAATCTTATGAAATTTTAATATTGAATATAGCAAGAAAAACTACAGAACAAAGGAGTAATTCTATGGCTTTAAAATATTCCTCAAGTTGGCAGTCCTTTTGAATCCATGGATTTTGATGCAGTATTTGATCAATAACATCTACAAGTGTATGAGAAATAGTGAAGTATAATACAAAGAAACTGTGCAAGTCTTTTTCTTCTATAAATAAAAATGTTTCTATTTTAAAATAGGGTGGCACAGTGGCTCAGTGGTTAGTACTCCTGCCTCACCAGCGCCAGGGGCCTGAGTTGGATTCCACTCTCGGGCGACTGTCTGTGTGGAGTTTGCACATTCTCCCCGTGTATGTGTGGGTTTCCTCCAGGTGCTCTAGTTTCCTCCCACAGTCCAAAGACATGCAGGCTAGGTGGATTGGCCATGCTTAATTGCCCACAACACCCAGGGATGTGTAGATTAGGTGGATTTGGGGAATGGGTCTGGGTGGGATTCTCGGAGGGTCTGTATGGACTTGTTGGGCTGAAGGGCCTGTTTCCACACTAGGGATTCCATGAAATTTCTATGAAAATAAAATAAAGAACTACAGATGCTGGAAATCCAAAACAAAAATTGCTGGCAAAACTCAGTGGGTCTGGCAGTATCTGCGAAGACATATCATAAGAAGTATCATAAGAGGATACAGGCAAGCAAGTTCCAAATGGAATACATGTGTAGTGGTGCCATGATTACCTTAGGGGGCCAGTAGTTGAGCAGGACAGGATAATAATCGAAAGAGCATGAGTTCAAATGAATTTGAGTCTGGTTCAAACAAAATTACAATGCATTTACAGACAACTTACCGTAGCATTGCCTCTGCATCGTTATAACTGATTGGATGAACCGGAATTTTTGGAAGGCCAATACCGTCATCCAATCTGAATGCATATTCTGAAAATAAGAATGGAAAATGAGGTATATTACAAAAACATTTTCTTTGATAAAAATCCAGTCCATATTGGGCTAACTTTGAATAAGTTGTATGTAGTAAATATTCTTAGACACTGGTATGATGCATTCATGTGAAATAATATAATTAGTGTGAATAGTATAATTATTGTACTCTACTACTGGACTGTATCTTATAATGCTGATTAAGACACTTCAGATTGTGATCATTACCTATATGTCTACATTATTATCTTAAAAATCTTGTTAATGATCATGCAATTACCCCGCTGAATAGACATCTACAAGAATGCAAGGCTGTTGAAATTTGTCAAGACAGATATTTTTAAAATGCTTTGTCTGGATAAATCTTAATCAAAAACCTAAAATCACAGATTTTCATCGATTTTTTAGTCTTAGCATATTCAGAATAATCTTTTGGCTATTTTGCTATGTATTACATGCAACACAAGTTCAATGTTCCCACATAGTAATTAGATTTACTGACATGTATGTCTTACATATCCCTATTTCTTTTGAAAGTTCACTTGCACCACCTTTTCAGACAATGCATTCCAACAGGTTACAGAACACCACATAAAAAAAGTCTCTTCTGGCTTTTTGACAAATTACACCAAAGTCCTCTGGTTCCCAAACAATTTCTTTCTAATTACACTACCAAAACAAACATGATTTTGAAAATCTTTAAGATATCTCACCTTAACTTTCCTTGGTCCAAAAGGAGCATCTCCAGTTTCTCAAATCTAACCAATTAACTGTAACCCATTATCACAGGTAACATTCCAGGACATCTTACCTACAGTCTCTCCAAAACATTGACAGCTTTCCAAAAGTATGAAACCCAGAATTGGACATAATACTCAAACTAAGGGCTGTCAAGTAATCTACAGAAGAATTAGCATAACTCTTTGCTTTTACATTCCATGCCGCTATCAATAGAGCTATGGAACTTTTTTTGTTTGGACTGTTTTCAACAAGTTGGCACGCCCTTTCAAAAATCTGTGTACGTACAACTCCAGGTCTCCCTCTGGTTCTTAGCTGTCTTCAGAAACAATTTACTGCCTTTTCTCAAAAATGTTATAAAACATGAAGAATAAAACCTGGCAAACTATCAGGCATTGAATGGGAAACAACAACGTCCATCTTGACTAATCAATCCTGCAACGTCCTCTTCACTAACATCTCAGAACCATCTAGAAAACTGGAAATCTATCCCACAAACCATTTAAGTAACAGCCAGACATTGTCATACTCATTCCTAACAGTCAATGTTCCAGATTTCTCTATCACCTTTCCTGAGTGTGCTTCATTTCATCAACTGAACAGAGCTGGACCTTGGGAGTCCTCAACATTAACTTTACACTCAATGAAATTTCATAACATTAGATCAAACATGGGCAATGAAACCTTCACTGATTACCAACTCGGACACTCCCTCAATTAACAAATCTATAAATCTTCACATTGAACACTACTTGGTAGAAGCAATGATAGTAATAAAGGTCCATGATACACTCTAGCTGGCAAACTTCAATGTCCATCAACAAGAGTCCAGGTGCACTGCTGACTAAGATAGCCACAGCCCAAGGGCACAGATGCCAGGCTGGTCTCGTGGCTGGGAGTGACACAATGAACACATGGAGAAACCTACTTGACCTACTGCAGATGCTGGAAATCTAAAATATTCCAGGCCCTTTCAGTTCTTGGACTTTCTCTCCACAGATGATGCCAGACCTTCTGGGTTTCTCCAGCATTCACTGTTCTTTCTAATTTAACCTATTTTTCTAATGAACCTTCTTCAGAGAGGTTATTACATGCCTCTGGACCTGGTGGAACTTGAACCCAGGTCTCTTGGTTCATCTGTTTTTGTTATTGACCATGATCTTACCAATTTACTTGTGGTAAATAAATAGATCCATAACAATAATGGCAGTGGTGACCAACACCAAATGCTTGAGAGACTGAAGTATTTTCCTCACATGGAGGACACAATAACTTGTGCAAAATGGCTCTACCACTGTTTTAAATTGGATTAGAAGTGTTCAGGTAAAGAGAGATTTGGAAATCCATATAGTAAAAGTCAAGGCAAATAGAATGTTTAACGATGTTGATGAAGAAGAGTACGATAGGAAGCAACAGTGATTTTAATGGTACTAATAAAATAGGTGGTAAGGTTCACACATGGAATAGTAGTAAAGAAATAAAATTAAAAACATTATCTGAATGCATAGAGCATCAGCAAAACATTGATAAACCAGTAGCAGAAATAGAAATATATAGTTTAGATATAATCTTTATTACATAGATATTGTGGTTATAATATGATCAAGTTGGGAGGTAAACATTTCAGGATATAGAACATTTTGAAAAGGGAGGGGTAGCCTTGATTTTTAACGAAGACAAAAGGTCATTAGTGAGAAAGAATCATGATTTAGAAGAACATAAAGCAGAGTCAGTATGGGCAGAGATTAAAAATAACAAAAGTAGACCTCTTCCACCAACCCCCAAACCCCCTCCCACCCCACCACCCCATCGCCAACAACAGTTATACTCTCATAATTAACTAGTTGCATAATTTAAATTAATGTTTTGATTCCTAAAATGAAAAGTTGCATCTGATAAACAGGAGAAACCTGAATAGAAACAAGTAACAATTCTGGAATATATATAATCCAAACTATCCCGGAGTTCAAAGTATTTATTTAATGAAGTCAGAATTTGAACAAAGAAAGTTTAAACACTGGGGGCCTATTTTTCACTTTCTGATAAGAACAAGGAGTCTATAGATATTTCAATAAGATATTTATATTATTAATCTAGTTCCCAAATGATAGAAGCTAAACACACACTGATAAATAAATGAGATAACAAGGTGTAGAGCTGGATGAACGCAGCAGGCCAAGCAGCATCAGAGTAGCAGGAAAGCTGATGTTTTGGGTCTAGAAAATGAAGAAGGGTCTAGACCTGAAACGTCAGCTTTCCTGCTCCTCTGATGTTGCTTGGCCTGCTGTGTTCATCCAGCTCTACACCTTGTTATCTCAGATTCTCCAGCATCGGCAGTTCCTACTATCTCTGATAAATAAATCAGCTACTTGATAGAACCAGTAAATCTAATATTTTTAAAACATGCCCCCTGGTTTTAGAAACCCCATCCATGAGAAATATCCTATCTGCATTTACCCTGCCTAACCTTCTACATATTTTGTCAGTTTCAATTAAATCACCTCTCATTCTTCAAAACTCCAGATAATACAGACCCAGTTTGCTCGAAAAGTTTTTCAGAGGACAGTCCTATTGTCCTGTAACAAGTCTGATGAATCATCATTGCAAGCCCTCTATGGTGATGATATCTTTCTTGACCGATGAGACCAAAACTGCACACAACACTACATGTGTGGCTTAATCAAGACCTATACAATTGAAACAAGAATCACTAATGCTCGCGCAATAAAGGCTGATATTCCATTAACCTTCCTATTGCTTGCTGCTCCTGCATGCTAGCCTTTAGTGACTTCATGACAGGACACCAAAAGTCCCTTTGTACACATACACTTTGTAACCTCTCACTATTTATTAAATATTCTGCACATCTGTTCCTCCTACCAAAGTGGATAACCTCATATTTTTCTACACTATAGTCCATTTGCCATGTTCCTGTCCATTCACTAAGCCTGTTCAAATCCTCCTGATACCTCATAACACACAATCTTGCTTCACTTTATATTATCTACAAATTTAGAAATATTAAATTTGGTTTCCACATCAAATTATTGATACATGCAGCTGTGGTCCATCATTGCTCTTTTCCATACCTCAGTAGTTACTGAGTGCCAACAGTACAATCACCCATTTATTCTTACATTCTGTTTTCTGTCTCTTAGTCAATCCTTAATCCATGGCAGGACATTATCTCCTATTCTACCCACAGTAGTTTAGCAGACCAACAACTGTGGGGAACTTATTAAAAGCCTCATAAAATCCAAGAATACTAAGTCAACCAAACAGGGTTATTGTGGTGCAGTGGTAGTGTCCATACCTCTGAGCCAGAAAGCCTGGGTTCAATGCCACTGCTCCAGAGGTAGTCACAACATATCTGAACAGATTGATTAAAAAGAATTTGCTATGACAATCAACTCTCGTGTATCAATTTTGTTAGATACATCCTTAAAAATTCCAACAAGTTCATACACAGTTATCCATCATAACTTTCAGTTTACTATGTCCAGACAGATCATTTTTATCCAAGTCTCCATTTCTCATGTTCTTTATGATAGATTTTAGCATTTTCCCTTCGACTGATAAAAGAATGACAGGTCTGTAGTTCCTTCTTTTCTTTCTTGCTCCTTTCTTAAATACTAACGTAACATTTATCAGCTCCCACAACATCATAAACTGCAAGAGCCGAAATTAGGCCATTCAACCCATCAAGCTGGCTCCACCTTTTGATCATGGCTGCTATGTTTCTCAACCGATTCTCCTGCCTTCTCTCCGTAACTCTCGAACCTATCTCTCGTTGTTTTAAATATACACAATGATTGTCAATGGTCCCTCTGGCTGAGGAAATCCCTCCTCATCTCAGTTACAAAGGGTCATCCCTTCTGTCTGAGGTTACGCTCTCAGATCCTAATCTCTCCAACATGTGGAAACATCTTCTCCATGTCTACTCTACCCAGGTCTCTCAGTATTCTGTTAATTTCAATCAGAACCCCCTTTATCCTTCTGAAGTCCATCGAGTACAGGTCCAGAATCCTGAATTGCTCCTCAAATGTCAAGCCATTCACTCCGGGATCATTTCTGTAAACCTCCTCTGCGCTCCCTCCAATGCCAACACATCCTTCCTTAGATACAGGGCCCAAAACGTCTCACAATATTCCAAATAAGGTTTGACCAGAGCATTATACAGCCTCGGCATTACATTTCTGCTCCTATATTCTAGTACTCTTGAATTAAATGCTAACATTGCATTGCCAATTGAACCTGCATGTTAACTTCAAAAACTCCTGAACTAGGACTCCCAAGTCCCTTTGTGTTTCAGATTTACAAAGGCTTTCTCCATTTAGAAAATAGTCTACATCTCTGTTCTTCCTACGAAAGTGCACAACCTCACACTTGCCCACATTGCATTTCATCTGCTACTACCTTAGCCTGTTCAAGTCCTTCTGTAGCCTTCCCACTTTCTCAACACTTCCTGCCCCTCCACCTATCTTTGTGTCATCTGCAAACTTAGCAACAATGTCCTCAGTTCCTTCATCCAGTTCGTTAACGTATAAAATGAATAGCTGTGGTCCCAACACGGACGCCTGCGGAACTCCACTAGTCACCAGCGGCCATCCTGAGAAAGACCCCTTAATCCCTACTTTCTGTCCTTGCCAGTCAGCCAATTTTCCATCATGCCATTATCTTGCCTTGAACAGTATGTCTTATTTAGTTGCCTTCTGTGCAGCACATTGTCAAAGGTCTTCTTGAAATCTAAACAGATCATGCCCACTGATTCTCCTTTGTCTAACTCACTCATTACCTCCGCAAAGGATTCTAACAGATTTTTCAGACATGGCCTCGTCTTAACAAAATGTGTATTTCCAAGTACTGTGCAATTTCATCCTTTATAATGGACTCTCAAACATTACCAATAACTGAGGTCAGGCTACCTGGCCTATAATTTCTTGTCTTCTGCCTCTTTCCCTTCTTAAACAGGGGTATTATATTTGCTACTTTTCAGTCTCCTGGGAACCTCCCAAACAGCAGTGATTCTTGAAAGATCATTGCCAATGGCTGCACAATTTCCTCAGCTATCTCCTTCAGAAATCTGAGATGTAGTCCATCTGTCCCAAGTGATATAACCACTTTCAGACCTTTCAGCTTCCCCAACACCTTCTTCTTAGTGATGTCCACCACATTCATCACTACCTTGACTCTTTTGAAGTTCTGGTATGCTGCTGGTGTCTACCACTGCAAAACTGATGCACTGTACCTATACAATTCCTCTGAAATTTCTTGGCTCCCTATTATTACTTCTCCAAACTCATTTTCCGTAGTCCAATATCCACTCTTTTTAATATCTTAAACTCTTGCAATCTTCTTTTATATTACTAGCCACCTTAATCTCATAATTCATTTTCTTCTCCCTTATTGTTTCTTTTGTTGTCCTCTGCTGATTTTTAAAAAGCTTCTTAAACCTCTGGCTTCCCACTAACGTTCACCACACTGTATGCTTTTTCTTTTGCTTTTAATCTGTCCATGGTTTTCCTTATCAGCCATTGTTTCCTCATCCTCCCCTTAGCATGTTTCTTCTTCTTTGGGATAAATTTCTGCTGTGCCTGCTGAATTACCACCAGGTACTCCTGCCATTGCTGCTCTACTGTCTTCCCTGCTAGGCCTCCCTTCAAATGAACTATCAAATGAAATATCTTTCCATCTGATTCCAGTTTCTCCCTCTTAAACTGCAGAATGAATTCTATCATGTTATGGTCACTGCCCCCTAAATATTCCTTCACCTTAAGCTCACTAATTAAGTCTACCTCATTACACATTACCAAAACCCGAATTGCCTGTTCCCTACAGGGCTCTACTTCAAACTGTTCCAAAAAGACATCACAAAGACATTCCACAAATTCCTTTGCATGAGATCTGCTACCAAACTGTTTTTCCCAGTCCACTTTCATATTAAATTCCCACATGATTATTGTAATAATGCCTTTCTTACAAACCTTTTCTAACTCCTGATTTATTTTCTCCCTCACATCCTGGCTACTGCAAGAAGACTTGTAGATAACTCCTATCAGGGTGTTTTTCCTTCGCAGTTCCTCAACTCCACCCAACCACACAGATTCTGCACCTTTCAAACTCTACCGAACTTCTTGCTGTTGATTTGATTTCATTCCTTAATAACAAGACAACTCCATCCCCTCACTCCATCTGCTTGTCCTTTCAATAGGATGTCTATCCTTTGATATTCAGTTGCCAGCCCTGATTCCTTTCCAGCCATGTCTCTGTGATACCAACAACATCATACCTGCCAATTTCTATCTCCACTGCCATCTCATTTTTACCTTTTTTCATATAGTATAACACTCTGCCCTGCTTTGACTGCCTCCTTATTATACTTGTCCCCTTATCTGTTGTGCCTGAAGTTAGATTCCTGACCCTTTCCAACTTCTCTGCCCTGTTACTCATGTGGAAACTTTAATAATCTCTGCTGAACCCTCCCTCCCTCTAACTTTTTCCATAATTTTCCATGCAACTGACCATGATCCCACGTCCCCATATAGATTAAAACCCTATCTACAGCCTTACTTATGTGATTCACCAGGACTCTGGTCCCAGCATGACTCAGCTGGAGCCAATCAGAAGGAATCATTTCAGAAGCTATGCAATTTTGAAAGATGATCACCAGTGCATTGACTACTTCATTAGCCACCTCCTTCAACAATCAGGTGTAAACTGTCAGGTTCCAGGGACTTATCAACTTTCAGTCTTTTAATTTCTTCAATGCAACCTTCTTACTAATACAAATTTCCTTCAATTCAATTCCTTCCAGTCACTTAAATATCCAATTCTGGAAGATTTCTTCTATCTTCCTCAGTGAAAACAGACACAAATTATCTGAAATAATTCACTGAGTTAAAATGTAGACTTAATGCAGTAAAGTTCTTGTTTTAAATATTGTTTGTCATTGCTAGAGTGAATTTTTTGAATGAGGATATTGGAAACTGATTAGACAGTGGAGGGATATTGGAAAAATGTATTGGTGGGCTACTGTGAAACTTGGTTATGAAAACATCAGGAAATGGCATAGAAAATTGTTGCTATATTTCCATAGTAAAATGAATTTGCATGGTGATTGTAACAGTGTTGCAGGAAAACTATGAAGTTCTCTCATATCCTGTTGCCATTTGATAAAAGTGCTGTCAACATATTCAAGCCAAAGTTTAGATTGAAGATCAGTTGATTGAGGTACAGCTTGTTTAGATTCTTCCAATAAAAATGTTGGCGACAATTGGTGATAATCAGCAGCATGACTCTGCTCATATTTTCATCTTCCACTATATATAATCACCTTTTAATTTGTTCATGTCATTCCTCCAGGCAACAAGCAAATTACACTTCCTGAAACAGTTACGTGTAGCAGTTCTTCTGATCTTACTCAAGAATACAGTTGCTTGCTACAGAACGTACCATTAGCTGGAAAGCCTGGGGTGAGGGGATCTCCAGCTCCATTCAGGTTTAATACATTTCCACGCTGGACACCACTTCCAGGAAGATTCCAGCCATCCGGATAAGGTTTTACCCCTGGTGCACAGTAATCAGCAGGGTCTGAGAAAAAGATGACTCCTTTAGCACCTGCTTTCATTGCATTTTTAACCTAGTGAACAGGAAGAATGGTATATCAAGCTGAAAATCTAAGCTATGCTTAAAAAATCTTTGGTTTATCTGTGCAAGGACAGAAACAGTTTAAAACATTTAAACAAACAAGGAATTAATCTAAAATATTACTCTCACGCTCAGGCAGAAATATTTTAAATATCCAAATACTCATTCAATACTGGATGAGGGCTTTGGAATTGTTGCACTGCCAACTCAGCCTGACCAAAAACATTGTGAAAACCAAAGGGGCATTAGTTATGGCAGAACCACATCTAAACTTCAAATAGGATGCCACCATACTATAAAAACCTGTATTAGCTGATATTTATAAGACATCCTGTAACCTTTTTTCGATAAATTCACAAATTCCACGTTGCTGAACTTAAGGATAAATTCACACAAAAGTTGTTTTATTTTCCACATTATAAAGTGTATATTTCTCTGGTAGTTGATTATATTGGAGTTCCCTTGCTTTTTGTGAACAGAACACCCCTAGGTAGTTTCAACATTGTTTGCTAGATGCCAATGGTATACTTTTACTAGAAAAGCTTGGTTAAAAATATAATGTGGAAGCAAAGTACTGGAGACACTCAGCAGTTCTGGCAGCATCTTCAGACTCTTCTTCCTAGAGAGTGTAAAGTGCCTTAGAGGAAAAAAGATGAGATGTCATTCCTCCAGCTTATGTTGAGCTTTGTTATAACACTGTAGATAGGACCAGGATTAAAACAATAGTATGAGACGAAGGTGATATATTGAAATGGTAAGTAAGTGGAAGGTTGGGGTCATTCCTACAGACAGATTGGAGGTGTTCTGCAAAGCACTCACTCAGTCTATGTTTGGCTTCACCAATGCAAAGGAGACTGCACTGTGAGCATTGAGTACAGTATACTAGGTTGAAAAAAAGATGTTTGGGGCCTTGGACAGTGAAGACGAAGGAAACGTTTCAGCCTCTAGGACTAAATATTGAGTTACACAACTGCGGATCATGACTTCTTTCCCTTTTTTTAAACCACCCACCCTTGGATGAATCTTTCTGGTGTCTTGTTGACTTTGTTTTCACCTCAGTTTCTCCTTTTCACACCTTTATTTACACCCAATGATTCTCTCTCCACAGATGCCACCAGATCTGCTGGGTTTCTGCAATATTTTTGTTTTTATTTCAGATTTCCAGCATCCACAGTTTTTGCTTTTATCTATTGTATTCCAATAGATAAAACTGTGCAAGTTTTGTAAAATACTGGGGCCGTTGATAAAAACTGAAATGGAGACTCTTAGAAGATTCTTTCTTTAAAAGTTCTTCGGGACATATATGTTACTAGTCCTTTTCCGCAATAGTCCTGAAACATAATTATAACTATAGCCAGCTTACATTCAGCACTTAACATACTTCCTCCATATTTTATACATAGCTCTCTGAAGGTGCTCCATAACCATTAAATTTTATACTTGAAACAGGAATATTTGATTAAGGCAGCTTTTCTCTCCCAAAGCAAGAAAGAAGTTCTTTATTTACTAATCAGAGTATCGCTATGGATACAGAATATTTCAAATCAATGTAAACAATAAATTTATACCTTGTTTCCTCGGAAGATTTTCCCATATCTAGCAAGCACAATTTTTCCAGTGCAGTTGATACCCAATTTTCTTTCCAAGTGGAAGAAGTCCTCAGTTCGAGCGTAGTTAACGTAGACTAAATCTCCCTGCACAGAAATATGATGGCACATCTAAACAAATCATGTAAAAATCCTTACAACAATAAATGTTCAAAGATAACATAATGGAGAGTTAACTGTCTTTGAATCTGAAGTAATTTCTACATTAAAAATTTACAAGAAATGATCTAAATTTAAAATAACCAAAAACAAATTGGCTGCAGCAACTTTATACATTACATACTGTATTCAATGAAAAATAGCACCAAGAAATCACATTAGAGATGCAGTTTACTCAAAATTTATCACAACTATATATTCACCATCATTTGTGGCAACTAAAGCCACCTTTGTGAGGGCTGGAGGCCAAGGATATTCCAATTTTTTGAGTTAAGAAAGCAGGACAGTGTAACTGATCTCATATCATGCTCATTAAAATAGATAGCCACAGGGAAAAGAAAATCAGTTGAAGGAGACTTTCATACTACTAAAGCAAAGAACATGTTATTAAAATAAAATCAATTTCCAACTAGAGATGGACAAAGGACTGTACAATAAGGATTTAAAAAGAACCCTTACAGAACGTGTTAACGTGCATGTCACATCTGCACGCATCTCATGGCAGTAGGTGGGTCTGTAACAACTAAAACCAAATTGCACAATAAGTATCTGCCAATACCCTGAAATATTTGTTTTTCTTTTGACACATTACATTTTGACAGCTGAAAGTTTTCATTAAAGCCGAAGTACATTATGGTCAGGTTTGTCCCTGAAAAAAAAAGCAAGAAAACTTTATTTCCTAAAGTGCCATTGATCTAGAGACACCGAGTTGATTTTCAGCTGTTGCCTGTCTTTTTAGCTTGTAAAACAAATGACTAGCTGTAGAATATTAGGTGTCTGGTCCGGGGGAGGTGATGGCCTAGTGGTATTACCACCAGGACTATTAATCCAGAGACCTAGGTCCCTGGGGACCTATATTTGAATCCTATCATGGCAGGTGGTAGAATTTGAAATTGATTTTGAAAAAATTCCGCCTAATGTGATTTTCAGGCTAGCCTACAAATGTACCTGAAAATGAAGGCTGCGCTATGAAGATTGGTGTTCTGCAGAGGCAACTCCAAAAACAAATTCTCTCCAAAAGACTTCCAATCATCCTTTGCTTTTCAACTGATACCTTGAAGCTTATCATAATCATGTATTCCTCCCACTCCATCCCCTCACCTTCAACACATTTCCAGCCCATCAACACAGGAAGCTTCCTATTTGCACTTACTTTCAGTGCCTGACGGAATATCAACCCAAACCATGGATCTCTCAAATTTTAAATTTAATGTTGATCTTCCTGTTTATGCAGCTTCTCTCACAACATTGTGTTCTTAGCTCTGTTCTATTACACTAATGCACTTTGCATGGTATTATCTGCCTGTACTGTACACAAAAAAGTACATGACAATAATAAATCAAATAAAAGCAATCAAATCACACCTAAAATATCTGAGAGATTGCATAGACTTGTATTGTTCCCTTGGAGCTACAGGAGACTGTCAGGGAACATGATTGATATATATAAAATTATGAGGAGCAAAGACAGGGTAAACTTGAAGAAATCCTTCCTTTGGTAGAAGGATCAAATGCAAGGGACATATATTTAAAGTAGGAGGCAGGACATTTACAGGGAACATGAGGAAGATGTTTTCACCTCGAGGGCAGTGGAAATCTGGAGCTCTCTGCCTGTAAGGGTGGTAGAGGCAGTGACCCTCATAACATTTAAGAAGTATTTAGACGTATGCTTATGATGTAAAGGCATACAAAGCTATGGGCCAAGTACTGGAAATGGGATTAGAATAGTTAGGTGGTTGTTTTTGACTGGGGCAGGCTCAATAGGCCAAACAGCCTTTTTCTATGCTGGAGACCTCTATGATTACCTCCTGACACTGGAGTCAGGAAGGCATTATGAATGTTTCTACCGTTTCACAGCCATTTAGACAGATCTTTTAAAAACCCTCCCAATGTTTTAAATTCTCTTTAAGCCACATTCCATACTGGGGATACAGGCGTTGTGTACTCAGTGGGGTGGAGGCTAGCTCCACTCCTTCCTGTCCACCCCCAGTACTTTCCCATTTTACCAATGAATAGCATTTTCAGAAAAGTGATCACACTGCAGTTCAAAGGACTGGAGGAAAGAAGGGAATGGACGACAACCAGGTAGTCAAAGAGACTCAGACAGGTAGTGCAAGAGACCCCGGGTCCTGAACACAAATCGATTTTCCATTTTTGAAGTTAATGAGGGCACTGGTTCCTCAAGAGAGTGCTGTCAGAGCTAGACTTGTGGCACCACAAGTGGCCTGACTGTACAAGAGGGAGGAAGAAGAAAACAGGAGCAATAGTGATTGGGGATTCATTAATTAAAGGAACAGACAGACATTTCTGCAGCTGTGGGTGTGACTCCAGAATGGAGCTTTGCCTTCTTCGTGCCTAGATCAAGGATGTTGCTGAGCAGCTGTAGGGCATCCTGAAAAGGGAAAGGTGGTCTACTTTCCGCACTGAAGTGATCTGTGCAGGACCTCTTGGCTGTATGGAACAATGGCATCTCTCCTCCAGTTCACCTTCATCACTAAGAATTTCACAGCCACATCTTAACCATGGAACCTCCTCCAATCCTTTGTTTACAATTGCAATTAAGTATCCATCAGCAGCCTCTTGTAACCCATTGCAGCTTCCTTAAAAAGCAGCAGAATCTTTAAGAACAGAAAGCTGGCTATATTGTGCGATTTAGCATATACTGTTAAGCAGCCTAAGGGTCACAGAGGTAACCAACAGCCTTGCAGCATAACTCTACCCAACATTCAGGTGAATAAGGTCCATCTCTGTACGCGTGGGCAGATCACGTATCATGTGCCTACAAATGCTGTGAACAAGTGACAGCTTTAGGTAATCTGAAAGGACACAGCTGTACAATAAATGAAGCATTGCTACTCCCAGCATCAAATGCATTTGATCCTTCTAAAATAATCTTGATCCCCATTTCCACCTGTAATAGCTTCCTGGCTTTGAAAATAATACAAGGGGGCAATGTAAACCATGTAGGGGTGGGTTAATTTTTCAGCTCACCTGTGCAGAACAAATATTTTGTTGTTGTTCAGAGATGTTTCAGCTACCAGTAAGAAATAGAAGCCAAAATATCTAATAATACAGCTTTCTGTTTCTTTGGAATTGATGCTCTTGTAACAGAAAATTCCACTTTATCAATCATCTAAACATTCATATAATATAAATACAACATTAATACTTCTGCAAAGCTCTTGAAAATATTAACCATTTTTTAAACCATGAATAATAGATGACATGTCAGAAATTTGCTGTTGTCCCCTCATCCAGCTGGTAACACTTATCTGTCAACATCTAGAAATGTATTTTTCAGGAGGCCTCTCTAAATGTGTGCAGCACAATTAATCCTTTGCTGTTTGCGACCATCATTGTGATAGTCGCTACAACATGAACTCTCCTATTTTCTGAAACAATCAGAACTAGAAGGGTCTGCTATAATTCATTCACTACATATTCCAATCCAATGTGCACTTATAAATAAAGACATACTTAACCTGAGGAAGGTATAAAAGTATGTTACTTTGCCTCAATGTATAAAGGGTGAATCAAGGTCAAGTGATTTTCTTTTGCACCCATCCATTCTTAATTTTACTTCTATTTCTTTGGCTGTTCGGGGCTGTGGGGAGCTGCATTAAAAGAGAGAGGGAAGATCTCCAGAGAAGAACAATGACATGGTTCTGTCTGCCCTCACTTTCAATACCACCAGCCTCCTCACTGAACAGATCCTGGGTGTTACAGCTGACTAGAAACTGAACTGGACTAGGCATATAGATACACAAGAGCAAGTCAAAGGATAGCAATACTACAGTGAGTAACTCATTTTGACTCTCCAAAACCTGTTCACCATTTACAAGGCACATTCCCCACTTGCCTGGATGAGTGCAGCTCCAACAACACTCAAGAAGATTGCCATCATCCAGGATAAAGCAGCTTGCTTGATTGGCACCACATCTACAAAACATTCACTTTGTCCACCACTGGCACTCAGTAGCAGCACAGTGTATACCATCTAAAAGACACACTGCAAAAAATCACTAAGGCTCCTAAGACAACACATTTAAAAACTCTACCATGTAAAAAGGATATAGGCAGCTGTGCCACCAACTTTTATCTCACTCAATTCCTCCCTTTCTCTCGTAACAAGGTAGAGAAAGCCCGATGGGTGGATGGTGCCTGACATTAGGCTCATCACCCGCTACAGAGAAAATCCTGGCCCTTACAGAAGAAGACCAGGACTATTCTTGAGGGGATGCCAAAGGAAACATTCCTGCCAAATGAGTATGTTTTATTCTGCATCCCACTGTGGTTCTCACAATAATCCCGCTGTCAGTGTCATTCATCATATACCACGTCTAACCATGAGCTATGACACCTTCTCTCACTGTTGTCTTAAAGTTGTCACCATACACATCCACCATTATCACAATGGAACAATAGGATCCCACAGAAGCAACCTCAACTTCTGAAGACAGGAGTACCAAGGCCTCAGATGAAGCATTAGTAAGGCTGCCTGCTACACCACCCACTAGCTTGGGCACTGACGCCTCAATGGGAACTTTAGGCTTAGAAAGTGTGGGACTACAATCTGGTGTGCACCTCACTGTGACGCTCCACAACTAGGCAAGGAAGAAATGCTCCAGGTCACTGGCACTCGGAAAATTGTTGGAGACCAACCATGTGCTCAGCTGCAAGCAGGAGAGGGCTCTGTAGTGTTGGTAATCAAGAAAATAGCTCTACTTATTGTAAACAAATGTATTCTTTAACTATTAGCAAGCAAAAATAGATTATTCAATACTACTGTGCAACTTCAGCTCCATTCTTTAAAAACCCTGAACAGAGACACACACATTCCAGCTGCAGTCTGACTACTGCATTGTATAGCTGGAGTAAAACTTCCTATTTTTATACTCCATTCCCTTTGAAATAAAGGTTAATATTCAATTTGCCTTCATTATTATTTGCTGAAGGAGAGTCGATGACCTAGCAATATTATCACTGCTTCATTAATCCAGAGACCTAGGTAATGCCCCAGGGACCTAGGTTCAAATCACACCATGGCAGATGATGGCATTTGGATTCAATCTTTTCAAACAACTGAATTAAGCATCTAGTGATGACCATGAAACCACTGACAATTGTCAAAAATATTCATCTAGTTCACTAAAGTCTTTCATGGAAGGAAATCTGACATCCTCACCTGGTCTGGCCTATATAGGACTCCAGACAGAGCAATCTGGTTGACTCAACTTCCCTCTGGGCAATAAATGCAATGCCCACATCCCATGAATGAATAAAAAAAAGTATGCTAACTTTTTATGATATATGCCTGAGGGCGCCCAGATCCTTCTTTTCTATAACTTTCTGAAGACATTCTCCATTTAAATAATATTCAGCTCCTCGTACCAATTTAATTACAAACTTAACCCTAACTTTAAGATAACAAGGTGTAGAGCTGGATGAACACAACAGGCCAAGCAGCATCAGAGGAGCAGGAAGGCTGACGTTTCGGGTCTAGGCCCGAAACGTCAG